CATCATATCACGAGTTACAACGTAAATTCCCTCACCGCAACTTCAAATGGAGGCCTAGTAACGCTGAGCTCGAAGGAGTTTCAGGTACTCAGCTGAGCATCAAAGGAATGGTGACGTTACCACTCAGATTCTCAAGACGTGGTTCTCCCTTCTACGCGGACTTCTATATAGTCCAGCAGTTTAGTTTGCCAGCCGACGGGTTACTTGGTCTACCAACTCTTCGAAAGAACATGATAGATGTTCTTCCACGTAATAATAGTGTTACGTTTAAAGGTGTTTCCTACACAGCAATGAGTCATTCTGAACCTATGCTCACAGCTAGGACGAAAGTGTTGTCTACCAATCCTATTAAGAGGAAGGCGGATCGTGCGTCAGAGATACCTCTTGACCTCAACCACACACTTTCCCAGCGTGATTACAGCAGCAAGAGTTGGACGATCGTACCAGCAGTGTTGAAGAGTACTCTCCATTACCAAAATGAGGAAATCACCAAAGCAACTGTCGAACTACCCAACGTGTACACGGGCACAGATGTTGTGTGTCTCCCGGAAACATGCAAGGTAAAAGGGCTGTCATGTGAATCTACCCTGAGCACTATACGCCCTGGTGGTTTGACCGACGTACTGATTCTAAATCGAACAGGCGTTCAGCGAATCTTAAAGAAAGGATGTTATTTGTGTGATTTTCTAGTATATCACAACAATGTCGAAGTGCAACCAAATAAATTCCCAATTCGAGGTATTGTTGCGAATTGCCAACAGACTCGACTGGCCAGGATAGATCAAATAGCGCCACATGTTAAGGTGATCGATCATCCCCAGGGCAAGACACGCCTTTTAGAGCTGCTTGCCGACTATAGAAATATAGTAGCCTTGCCAGGGGAAACGCTAGGTCAGACACATTTAACATCCCATCATAGACTACCTCATAGCCAGCGCGCTGTAGTGCAAGATATGGTACAGGGTATGTTAGATGAGAATGTTATTAGACACTCAAAATTCCCCTTTAATAGCCCATTATTCCTCGTCCCGAAAAAGGATGGTGGATGGCGCTCTGTTATAGATTTCAGGCGCGTCAATGATCAAACGATCCCTGATAGGTACCCTATGCCTATCTTGAGCGACATATTGCAACTGGAAGATGAGCAACGACGCGACCCATATTGGTCAGCTGTTATTTTTGTTCTCGAATCGGGTGAGGATGTTAAACTCCCCAAGTTATTTCTTCCCTTAAGTCAGTTTGAATTACGACATAACATACTCAATAGGACGAGAAAATCTCCTGAGGGTAATGTGTCTCAAATAGTCGTACCTGACACGTTGCGCAAAGCAGTAATGACATTGTTCCACGATGTCCCACAGGCAGGTCACCAAGGTCGTGATAAATGCTTAGCGGATTTACGAAAGAAGTATTTCTGGAACACTATGAAGAAAGACATAGAATTACACATAGCTAATTGTTTGGCGTGTGCTCAACATAAAGGTTCAACAGGATCACCTGCCCCGATTCTACAATATCCTACACCAGACCGTCCGTTTGACACAGTCGCTATTGACTTGTTACAACTCCCAATGAGTCATCAGGGATCAGGCTACGTCTTAGTGTGTGTGGATCATTTTTCAAGGTTCGTGGTCTTGGTCCCACTAAAAAGCAAAACGGCCGAAGCAGTAGCCTATGCATTAGTGATGAATCTTATATGTCCATATACTACGCCTAAAGTTCTGCTCTCTGACAATGGAACAGAGTTCAAGAATCAGCTAGTAGCGCATATATGTGCACAATATGGTATTAAACAAACTTTTGTGACAGCTTATCATCCACAGGCTAATGGCCTTGTTGAAAGAACCAATCGTAAAATCCTAGAAATACTGCGTCCAATTGTCAGTGGTTTTCAATACGCATGGGAGGATTGGTTACCGCAGGTTGCAGCGTCGATAAATGGGTCAGTTAATAGCTCTACGGGCAAAACACCCTACTACATTGTCTATGGTACAGATAAACGTCTACCTTACGACATCCTTACAGATACGCCATACCCGGTTTATAATACGGATGATTTCGCGGCAAAACAAATTCATGTCTTTGCAGATATTCATACCCAAGTACGATCACATCTAGCGGCGTCACGCGCCGAAATGATCATCAAATAACATAAACAAGCTAAACCTGTCGCATTAAACGTTGGGGACGCTGTTATGTTAAGAGAACCTGAAAGGAACTCCAAACTTTCGGCAAAATTTTCTGGTCCATTCCGCATAATCTCAAAAGAATCAGGCAACAAATTCAAAATTTGGAAGCCTAATGCACAGATCGCAGATGTCGTGCACGCGGATCGTCTGAAGAAGACCCAGATAAATGTATTACCTCCAGTACATGATGATGTGATTGATACATCCTTACAGATTGTCCAGAAGCAGAGTGTCCCAAATGACTATTTTATGAAACTACGTCCTGCAAGTAGACGTTAAATCGTTTGTAATTCCTTACAGAATGGCTTGGATCTTCAGTGTGTTGCTGCTACTCTGTTGTGGCACCGTTGTGTTGACGGACATGTCCACATCAGTCCTCAAACCAGGTGCACTTGTGGCACCTCTCGGACGCGTTCTCATAGTTGAGGACGTGGTGAACATCAAGTATGAAACACAGCCACTACTCCAACTTCCGCGTCAGATGGAAAACGTCGACGGCCAACTACAATCAGCATTAGACATTCGTCATGGTCTCAGCACAGCTTCTAAGAATTCGACAATAGTTTCACAAACTATAGACCTTCTACACTTTCGTCTCCAGAACCTTCGCGAGTTTCTCGTCGATGTTGGGAAAAATCTACCTGCGTCTCAAGCGGATCTTGCTCAAGAAGTGCATTCTCAGGCACGACGAAAAAGGGGTCTCTTTAATTTTGTGGGTCTCATCCAAAGCGCTTTGTTTGGCACGGCAACGGCCGATGATGTAGCTAAATTGGGGGACCGAATGAACGTTGTCCTCGGGGAATCAAGGCAACGACATAGAGAAGAGGGATATTAGCCTAACAACTTTATTGACAAAATTGAGGTATAATTAGCCTAATCTGAGTAGAACCTGATTGACCCCATCAGATTACGCAAATTGTACCTCAATTTTGTCATTAAAGTTGTTAGGCTAATATTCTTCTTCTTTATATCGTTGCCTTGACTCCCCCCCTTCCCCCTCCGTCCCTTCAGCCCTCACCTACCGCCACCCCCTCTCGTCTCTTAGCGAAGGGGTTGACTGTTCTCCCCCTCCCCCCCTTCCTTTATCTCTCTGTATTATACGGGGTAATATTCTCCCTACACACTACCACCTTCCTCCAATTTTTGTGTAGCAACAGGGATAAATGTTCTCCCCCAATTCATTATCACCTTATCTCCACTGACCCACTCTTGTACAGCAAAGGAGCTAAACGCTAGCTAATCCCCAACCGCAACCACTTTCCCTTTTCCTCACTGATGATTTAACAGCAATAGGGCATAAAAACCAGGGCACTACTTAAAAAAAACAAACAAAAAACTGACCAGGGAGGAGAGAAATCTTTCCACCAACAACCGAGAAACACAGAGACGCTGCTATGGAAGGCTGTAGCGCAGGGAGGAGGCGTGGGAACGGGGCCAGGTATATTGTGTGGGTTAGGTTTATTGTGCGAAGTTCATTGACGGAGAGAGAGAGAGAGAGAGAGAGAGAGAGAGAGAGAGAGAGAGAGAGAGAGAGAGAGAGAGAGAGAGAGAGAGAGACTTGCATCATCCTATCAGCTGACCCTTTCCACAATAAACATTTATCATCAACACCTGAGGGCGTGTTGATCACCCGTTTACCTGCCTCGTATACTTCTTGTCAGTTATCACCAAAACACAAGACTCAGGTAGTTAACAGGAGCTTTATTGTGCTCAAGTTTCATGTTTCTTACTCATAAAGATACAGACTTCGGGTAACAACCTACTAAGACGCTCGACACTGAAATATTTACGACTTAACCCACAGCCAAGTGTCATAGACCAGTTGAGAGAGGGAAAGTGTGTGTGTCCATATCGCCTCCTCAACTAAGCTTCACACTCGAGACTTGCTAACCCATAAAGAGAACAAATTCGTCACTCTAACCATACAAATAATATCCTTGTTAAAAATATATACAATTACTATATTTTGTGTTGTAAGCTGTAAAGTATCATTAATTCTTTAAGTACATTTATAAAACATTAAAAGTGGTGTTATCAAAGGTACACTTATCATAATATGCTCTTCAATTTATCAGGCAAGTATACAATAAGTAGACACTAAAAATCTTTGAATCGTCAACACTTACACAGAACAAAAGCACATTTGCAATATCCACTTATAGATTTTTTGTAAGTAATGAAATAAAGATAGGGATGTTATCCACGTCATGAAATAAAGTAAAATTCATCAACGTACAAACATACATACATACAGTACATACAAAGTGGATAATCTTATTCCTGAAGTAGAGGGATGGAACACATATAAATACTTATATCAATAAAACTTACATATAAAGACCGTAAGCTCAGATATGAATACATCCTATACATATAAGACGACCAATAATGTAGAGAAGATTAAGGTCAAACTTATATTCAGAAAGTTATCAATGAAATAGTAAGAAAGGTGACACATTTTACCTTACAAGACTCGTTCATATAGAAGGACACATTTACATACGAGTGATGGAGGAAGGTAGGGACGGAAGGAGAGAAGGAGGGATGTATAACAAGGAAGAACTGCAGAGAGAAGGGGGATGAATGTAGGTAGATGGAGGGAAGGAGAGAGGGACGATGAGGTAGGTAGATGGAAGGAGAATGACGTAGGGATATATAGAGGGGGTACGGGTGACGTAGGAGTAAGCAGGGAGGGAGAGAGAGGCAGAACTGTACAGAGAGAGAGAGAGGCGCAGTAAACGTAAACAAAAGCAGAGGCAGACACATAGTGCACCAGCAGTAGTAGTACAGGAGAAGGTAGAGGTTACTCACGCCCTGCTGTGTAGACCGTTAAAGGCGTCCCTACGGCCGGTGAGGATCTTCTTGTAGGCGCTGTTGTTGTCACTGTGGCCGCGTCGTTCATAATTTCTCTCAAGATCTTCCGGCGGCATATTCTGCTGCCATTTGTTTCCACCACCATCAAGGGTACGACCACTCGCCACACGCCCGTTTATACTTAGACCACTATTACTTAGTGACCGCCCAGTTCCACCGACCTGGTTCTGTGCGTCAGCCACCCAAGGACTCGGCGTTAAGCATGCTAGGATTACTAGGGTTAAGCACCGCACACTGTTCACTCTCGTGTTCATCATGTTCAACGACGAGAAGATGGAGTGTTTCGCTAGGATATTGTGATGGATAACGTCTACTTTGTATTACAGCTGAACACTTCGGTGTGTCATATTGAGGCAACAAGGTGACTGAAAAATAGAAGATACATTTTTAATTCTAAATTGTTCTGGCAGGGTCATGACTTAAGACAAGAAGCAGTACTGTTGTCTCACGACATATTCTGTCTACTGAACTGTTTTAATCTATGGGACACGAGAGAACGAGGTTGGTTGCCATGTAGGTGACACGTTTGTTTGTTACCTAGTGTTTGTGTTACATACGTTGTGCATGTGTGTTACGTAGTCGACTTGTTACTTGCTCGCCTACAGACCCGAGAGAAAACCCGACTCGCATATGAAACCGGTCACTGAAAACCCTAATTCAATTTTTTTAATTTATTTAATTAGCAGATACGTCAATAGTTTATCACCTACAAGCACGAGTGTGGAGGTGACCAATTGACACAAGTGATACAGACACTAATGTTAAATTCCAACTGATTCCTGACAATTCACATGACCCCAAACCTTATTAAACCATTCATGTTGTAAAAATCACCCGAAGATTAGACACCCTAACTTATTGCATCTTAAGATTATAACCTAACCTAGCGTAACCTAACCTAACCTTTGAGGTGAATGATATTAGTATGTACAGAACGTTTACTTAAGAGTCTTAATATACACGTTATGTCCCAATGCTGAACAGTGACAGCTCTTGAGTGTCAGTGTGTGTCGGCTACAGCGATTCTGTAGCCTTATTGCCGTGTGCCTGTATCATTGTCTACGAAATAGAGAGAGAGAGAGTTAGTAAGTTAATTCAGGCTTACATGAAAAACAGGTCAATGATATCTCAAGGAATAAACAATTGACCTTTTGTGTGTGTGGGTGTGTGTTCCTTCGTGCCAGAATGTATACGTATATGTGTACAGGTAAACGTGGATGACTCTGTGACTGTCTACACATGTAACTATACCTGTGTTTGTATGCAGGTGCATGTGTATTCGAGCACGTGATTCAGTATACAGGCAGCGACGTAAGCGTGTGTAAAGGCCAATCTCACTCTCTCTCTCTCATACATACACACGTACATACATACATACATACATGACAGACAGACACAAACATAGACAAGTCACGCACACACACACACACACTAACGGTACGACTTTTCTGACTAATTTCAGTTTATTATCTACCTCGCGTGACGTGTTATATCCGCCACGCGAGAGTTGTGTCTTCATGAGTGAGGCGAAGTACACTAGGAACAGAGAGTCAATTACTGATAAAATTCCAAGGCATGACATGTCTCCTGTACGTCATCCATCCACCCATGTCCCCGTTTCTCAAATCTCAATGTGTATCTACGTGTCTTTACGTGTTCTGTTCCTTCGGTGTCATCAAACATTCATGGTCGGTCTACCATATCGGTGACGTAACGAGGGGAGCGATGACCTGTCAAGACCCCCCCAGAGCTAATTAATACTTTTGTTGTAAGGATCACACACTATGGGTTATACATTATGGGTCACACACACACACTATGGGTCACACGCTATGGGTCGAGTACCGGTAGTGGACTGATGGCGGAACACACCGGTACTCACCTCACTGCACTCTTGGATCAGATCACAGACTAACGACAGCCAGGGAGGAGGAGGAGAAGCCAGACCTAGCGAGCCCTACAAGGTGTGGCGGGGAGTGAGTTCAGACGTGCCATGGTGAGTGAGTGGTTGGTTATGCATGAATAATATAAGCTGGAACATCGTCATTCCTAATTTACTTTACAATATGTGTATATATATATCCGCAATATACGCATACACACATACACACGTACATACAATTGACGTTTGGGGGGGTCACGGTATTCACGAGATATTAGTGTTTTGTACTTGACAGACAGACAGACAGACAGCTGATCTTTATATACTCCTTGTTAGCCATTAAGAGCCCACCATAACTTCGTCACGTCATACAGAGAGTGAAAAGCAATACAATATAGAGAAACACACACTAAAACACACACACACACACACACAGAATATGAACTGGTAATACAACTTCTTTGACAATGAAGAAGAAAAAGAAGAGGATTTATCGTACATGAAGCAACAGCAGCGACACTCTTATGAAGTTGAAGAACACCATGACACTTTGTTTGTTACTTTCTACTACTGTAAGCAACGCGTGTGTGAGTGTGCGCGCGCGCGCGAGTGTGTGTGTGTGTGTGTGTGCGTGTGTGTATCGTATTATCCTACTCAATAATTCGGATAAGGATAACGATTAAGCAACATTTTATATCATTTCAAAACTAGATCAATATGTTTAATTTTATAGTGTAGTGTTATGTATATAGATATAAAAAAACCTTAAACCTCCTGGTACAATAAATAAAGCAGGGTTTATATACTGGGTTTTGTGAGTTTGGTTTCTTATATATAGGTTCCCTTAAAAATCACTTTTATACTTTCCTTTAGAAATTTATTAAAAATAGACCTATTAATTTTAAGGACACCACTAAGCCTTAATTCCTTACGTGTTCACCAAAAAAATATTTAAAAAACCCCAGCAAGTGCAGCGTACTTAATATTGGAAGAACAAATACTTATAATGTATACAGCCTTAACAACATCAACCTAGAGAAGTCGACTTGTGAAAGAGACCTAGGGGTACTTGTAAGCCCGGACCTACGGCCTAGAAAACAGTGCGTTAATGTTCGAAATAAGGCAAACAGAGTATTGGGTTTTATATCTAGAAGTGTAAGTGACAAGAGTGCAGAGGTCTTATTGCAACTATATCTTGCGCTAGTCAGGCCGCACCTCGATTATGCGGTTCAGTTCTGGTGCCCCTATTATAGAATGGATATAAATTCACTAGAGTCGGTGCAGCGAAGAATGACAAAAATGATTCCGGGACTTTGAAACCTTCCATATCAGGATAGGCTAAAGAAACTTAACTTGCATTCCCTAGAAAGATGAAGAGTGCGGGGAGATATGATAGAAGTATTTAAGTGGGTGAAAGGAATCAATAAAGGGAATATAGATAAAGTTCTTATAATATCCGAGCAGGATAGGACTCGGAGCAACGGATTCAAGTTGGATAAGTTTAGGTTTAGGAGGGAGATAGGAAGAAACTGGTTCACAAATAGGGTGGTGGACGAGTGGAACAAGCTTAGCAACTTTGTAGTAAGTGCGGGAACTCTGGAAAGTTTCAAAAGGAGGCTAGATAGATTCATGGATGATAGAGAGTGGTAGTAACTCTCGACAGGAGCTGCCATGCACAGGCCAACCGGCCTATTGCAGACTCCTTATTTTCTTATGTTCTTCTTATGTTCTTATATACATATAGGACTCAGAGGTGTATGTTTGATTAACTGTATGTATAATTTTAACAATTAAACGTATGTATGATTAAACGTATGTATAATTAACCGTATATATGATTAAACGTATGTATAATTAAACGTATGTATGAATAAAGGTATGTATGATTTAACGTATACATGATAAATTGTATACATAATTAAACGTATGTATGATTCATCCTCACCTTCACCCACTTCTCACAAGCGAGTGTTGGTACAATATGACCGTCGCTTACCTGACCTTAATATATATATATACTGTACATCACTTCCCCCAAAGAACATGACAGTCGCTACCTCATCTAAGACCGTTATTGTCAAGAGAGTCTTATATTAAAGTCTCCCATGAATTATGAGATTATAGGGTTGCCTTATAGGAATGGGATCGTCTTAAGTGATATTATTAAGTGGTCATGTTGATTATAACGATAACCTGTATATTACGGACGGTCAAGTGTTGTAGTTGACCTTATTTATTTATTGTGTGTGTGTGTGTGTGTGTAAGAGAGAGAGAGAGAGAGAGAGAGAGATAACAAACGCACACACATACACACTAAAAAATAATCTTCAAATCTTGTAACCTTGAACCAGCAACTTCCATTTTCCTCCACCACAAGCGCTGGGTCTCGCCCCTCCACACTACCACGGCAGCAACACCTCATCAGGACAACGCTAACTTAACCTAACCCCTCGGAAGCATTTGAGTGTTTAATCAATATTCAACATGTGAAATAAGCTAGGGTGGCTGATTTTCATGTGAATTGATTACAGTACCCTCAATCACCTTATTCAGAGACAAGGTCATATAATAATCTTAGGTCATCCCAATGAGTCTTATCTCCCTAGCTGAGGTTCGCCTCCTGTAGACAGGGTATAGAAATAGCTCTTACCAGGACTGACTCGCTCTCTCGCCCTTACACAACACCGACTGCAACAGACAGGGTGGAACAAGGTCCCGTGTTCCCACTTCAACTTTTTATAACAATTCTTTGATTAGATTAAAACAAAAAAGTACAGTGAAAATTGAGATATTTGAACAAGTTAATAATAATGATAGGAAACATAATAATGATAATAATAATGATAATAATAATGATAATAATAAAGCTTTATAAGAGAAAAGCAAAATATGGCAACACTACCACAGTTACAACACAACACAGACCTGGTAACACAAGCAGTAAGAACTTGGAACTTCTTCTTAAATAAACAATAACAACAATGGAAAACAATGTTGGCAATTCAACAACACTAGAAACTTATTCCCACGAACACTATACACATGATTCAGAACAAAAACCACCAGAATGACAAAACAAGGAAAATCAATACACCACAACAAAAGACAACGAAATAACAATGACAAATTACTGCAACACAATTCTGCAACACAACACAAAACAGTACTACCGACAATCCAATGCTCGTATATAAAAATAAAGAAATACAATTCAGTATGACAACAACAATGACGACAAGCAACTCCTGGTAGCGTACTGTCGACCAGCGCCCGTTAACACCACCATCCTTTCACAGCCAATTTTCACCCTTACGTGGATTAAATGTGATTATCTGATGCAGCACCATGTATTGCAGCCATCAACACACACACACACACACACCAGTTTTTACATCCGCCATAAGCATAATAGGATTGGTCGCTGTCTCTTCCCACTCGTACTCAAGAGACGATGACAAGGAAGTAGGTTCCTTGTGCTATACTTAATGGGGAAAAAATGTCTCTCACTCACACTGTATATCGTCGCTTCCTGGGAAAATTAAATCTTGTAGGTTAAGTGTGTATTTGTTGTACACGAAGATGTTCTGTACGTGTTATTCGTATCTTATGTAAATAAAGTAAAAAACTGGTTACCCCGGTTCTATCTCAGTGAAGGACATTAGCACGGTATATCGTGATGACTAGGTCAAGTGGAGAACAAAGGTGAGAGAGAGAGAGAGAGAGAGAGAGAGAGAGAGAGAGAGAGAGAGAGAGAGAGAGATTCTTCCTTCTTAAGCTACAAATGGCTGTGTTACAAGTGTCAGGTCCTGGGATGGCTAAAAGACTGGTCAGTGTCAACTCCGGAAACCATTGATAAATTGTGACTTAAAGGGATGGCAATTTGTTGAAACACTTAATGGTTACATTTTGCCGTATTTGAAGTTCGCCAGTGACGACGATAAACACAATTACCCGAGAACCATCTGTTAGCCGACACACACAGGCTGCACGTCACCCGAGGTCACCAGCACCTCTGTTCAAAATACCCAACCAGAAAAGAAAAACTGCCGTGGTGCAGGTGGAGACAGTCACGTGTGGTCCAGTTAGATCACCAGTCTCTCTGAACCTTTCGCTGTGCTCCACCTCAAATTTGCATATATGACTCTATGTGAAACACATACGACGTGCAGGACCCAGTATTCTTTACTGTAACTCAAAATAACGCCATAGGAGGTTAATAAATAGTTGGTGTCAGGACCCTGGTCGGTGTATTCCAAAACGTGATCAGCCTTTACCGCTTGTTTCGGTCAAAGAAAGGCGACACTTCTCGAAATCGTGAACAATACTTGAGAAAATCTGATATATACATGAGCCTCGACTTATTTTAAACTACATGGGGTGGCAGAAGCGCTCAGCTCCTCCTAACGCTCGACTAGAACTTGGTGTAAGATCTTCAGGTGTTTCAGACATACAATATATAACGTGGTAGTGAGTGTGTGTTCGACGATGCCAAGCACGAGACTGTAATACGGTTATGACCCCGCGTCCCCCACGCCCATGTGACATGCATCTGGCCACCCGGTCTTGCTGGTACATTACGCAGGGTTTATCCTCTCTAGCCTCAAGCACGTCAACAAACACCTAAATCATTTTTGTTGTTGGGAGTATAATATGCAACCAGCCTCAATACCTCACAGGTTTTACAAATTTTTCAAAAACTAAAGCACATTGAACCGCGCGATCTGGTATTTCACGGGAGTTGTTAACCCCGCTCATTTCATGTACGAGTAAGTCACAGAAGCCGGGCGTTATGTTCTAGATATATGGATCGATAAAAATCAAAGTAACAAAGGCGCAGAGGGTAATCCCATCTCCATACAGTCCGTTTCAGCTTTTGTAGAAGCAGGGTTAAACGAGGTCACTTGGCAGCGTGGACGAGGATGGAGACAGCCCGGCAGCGTTCACTCACTCACCTTCATAGCCTAGCACTGACTGACCCGCCTCGCGCGGAGTTGCTCCACACAACCCTCCAACGCCCCTCACAGCACCGCGGAAAGTTCCTCTTGCCGGAAATGAACAGCCAGCGCGAACTTTTAGAAGTTTTTGATGCAGCAGCAGCAGAAGCGGCAACAGATACAATAACAGCAGTAACAGCAGCAGTAGTAGTAGTAGTAACAATAACAGCAGTAACAGCAGCAGTAGTAGTAGTAGTAACAATAGAAGAAACAGATCCAGCTGTAGGGAAAATACTAGGAAATCCACGAAGAACGAGTGGAAAAAACAGACTGACAATAACAAGTCATCCTGGACACGAGACCTCATACCTGCTACCCACCTGAAGTACTGGAACGATCACTTGCCAGGGCAAATGAACGAAATCAAATATAAGATACGAATTTCCAAGTAATATTACATTGTGGGTGTAGGGAAGCAGCTGGAAATGGCTTGCGTGCGTGTATAAGCATGGTTGTGCGAGTGTGTGTATTATGCACTCTCAAATAACTCAAAGATATACAGCGAAAGAACAGATGCCCTGGGTGGGAAGTGTAGCTATAACCACCTGGCTAGCCACCAACTTACCACCCTCACATGCGACCTGTAGTTTAGATCAATACTCGTCCTTCTTCGTCTCCCAAGTGCAAGAGGTTGAAAAGGTGTAGGTGTTTGGTGTTATTTATCAAGAACACTTCGTTAGTTATATAAGACAATACGATAGTTCAGGGGTTGTGTTGCCAGAGTCTTAGGTTATGTAGACTATGTCTCCTTGCTGAAATAAAACTCCCAAGACTACTAGCTTCTCGATTACGATGACAGGACTTGTCTGATGTAAATGTATGAAGCCTTAATGATTCTTTGTGGTAAAAGTGGACAGGGACAGAAACGAGCGGACGGACGGATGTTAAGACAGATGGATACAGCAGTAATTAAAATGCAATAAGGTGTTGTTGTGTTTAATACTTAATGGCCTTGAGATCAATATACATAATAGGTGACCATAGACGTGATAGTTCCGGCCCTGGCCTCTTTAGCCCCGACGATCTCATAAGGATCTTCCATGAAGGAGAAGCCGACAATACTGAGGTTCTTTAAGGTTAGGTTAGGTTAGGTTACACAGTACCTTGTATATCACAGTACCTTGTATAACACAGTAGTACCTTGTATAACACAATAGTAACTTGTATAACACAGTAGTACCTTGTATATCACAGTACCTTGTATATCACAGTACCTTGTATAACACAGTAGTACCTTGTATAACACAATAGTAACTTGTATAACACAGTAGTAACTTGTATATCACAGTACCTTGTATATCACAGTACCTTGTATATCACAGTACCTTGTATAACACAGTAGTACCTTGTATAACACAGTAGTAACTTGTATATCACAGTACCTTGTATATCACAGTACCTTGTATATCACAGTACCTTGTATAACACAGTAGTAACTTGTATATCACAGTACCTTGTATATCACAGTACCTTGTATATCACAGTACCTTGTATATCACAGTACCTTGTATAACACAGTAGTACCTTGTATAACACAGTAGTAATATATCACAGTACCTTGTATATCACAGTACCTTGTATATCACAGTACCTTGTATATCACAGTAGTACCTTGTATATCACAGTAACACCTTGTATATCACAGTACCTTGTATATCACAGTACCTTGTATATCACAGTACCTTGTATATCACAGTACCTATGTATACCTTGTATATCACAGTACCTTGTATATCACAGTACCTTGTATATCACAGTACCTTGTATATCACAGTACCTTGTATATCACAGTACCTTAGTATAACACAGTATATCACCTTGTATAACACAGTAGTAACTTGTATATCACAGTACCTTGTATATCACAGTACCTTGTATATCACAGTATATCACAGTAACACCTTGTATAACACAGTAGTAACTTGTATATCACAGTACCTTGTATATCACAGTACCTTGTATATCACAGTACCTTCACAGTATATCACAGTACCTTGTATAACACAGTACTTGTATATCACAGTACCTTGTATATCACAGTACCATCACAGTACCTTGTATATCACAGTACCTTGTATATCACAGTACCTATGTATAACACAGTAGTACCTTGTATAACACAGTAGTAACTTGTATATCACAGTACCTTGTATATCACAGTACCTTGTATAACACAGTAGTTGTTGTATAACACAGTAGTAACTTGTATATCACAGTACCTTGTATATCACAGTACCTTGTATATCACAGTACCTTGTATAACACAGTAGTACCTTGCATAACACAGTAGTAACTTGTATATCACAGTACCTTGTATATCACAGTACCTTGTATATCACAGTACCTTGTATATCACAGTACCTTGTATAACACAGTACCTTGCATAACACAGTAGTAACTTGTATATCACAGTACCTTGTATATCACAGTACCTTGTATATCACAGTACCTTGTATAACACAGTAGTACCTTGCATAACACAGTAGTAACTTGTATATCACAGTACCTTGTATATCACAGTACCTTGTATATCACAGTACCTTGTATATCACAGTACCTTGTATAACACAGTACCTTGCATAACACAGTAGTAACTTGTATATCACAGTACCTTGTATATCACAGTACCTTGTATATCACAGTACCTTGTATAACACAGTAGTACCTTGCATAACACAGTAGTAACTTGTATATCACAGTACCTTGTATATCACAGTACCTTGTAAATCACAGTACCTTGTATATCACGTTCGGTGAGGCAACAGCCGGACCCTGGAATACGACCATTGTCATATTTCACCCTTGATCTACGACTATAATTGTGCATTTTAAAACATACTTGAATTCTGTGTTGTGTCAAGTTCAATAAAAATATTTGCATCAATACACAAACATTTAAGAACACCCAAATAATAATGCCACACCGTAATGGTATTTTTCAACAGGTGTACACACACGTGGAATAAGGTGATGTATTGGAACAAGTTGTCTAGGAGGCTGGCGGGACTACCAGCAGATGGGATAGGTGGTCTAGGAGACTAGGGGACTACCAGCAGGTGGGATAGGTGGGCTAGGAGACTAGGGGACTACCAGCAGGTGGGGTAGGTGGTCTAGGAGACTAGGGGGACTACCAGCAGGTGGGATAGGTGGTCTAGGAGACTGGGGGACTACCAGCAGGTGGGATAGGTGGGATAGGAGACTAGGGGACTACCAGCAGGTGGGATAGGTGGTCTAGGAGACTAGGGGACTACCAGCAGGTGGGATAGGTGGTCTAGGAGACTGGGGGGACTACCAGCAGGTGGGATAGGTGGTCTAGGAGACTAGGGACTACCAGCAGGTGGGATAGGTGGTCTAGGAGACTAGGGGACCACCAGCAGGTGGGATAGGTGGTCTAGGAGACTAGGGACTACCAGCAGGTGGGATAGGTGGTCTAGGAGACTAGGGGGACTACCAGCAGGTGGGATAGGTGGCAGAGACTGGGGACTACCAGCAGGTGGGATTGGTGGTAGGAGACTAGGGGGCAGACTGGAGACTAGGGACTACCAGCAGGTGGGATAGGTGGTCTAGGAGACTGGACTACCAGCATAGGTGGTCTAGGAGACTGGGGGACTACCAGCAGGTGGGATAGGTGGTCTAGGAGACTAGGGGACTACCAGCAGGTGGGATAGGTGGTCTAGGAGACTAGGGGACTACCAGCAGGTGGAATAGGTGGTCTAGGAGACTGGGGGGACTACCAGCAGATGGGATAGGTGGTCTAGGAGACTGGGAGGTATTACCAGCATCATCTGCTCAGAGACATCTCGTCAATACAAGGTCACCTCTTCCTCCCCTCCACCCTCTGTTGTGTATTAAGATTCGGTTCCCATAGACGAGTACGTCTCTTTGTTCTCCTTATTAAGGATATAAGGATCAAGTTACGGGCGACTGTTACTACAATCTGATCCCGTTTCGGTCATCGTCTTTCGTGGTGTTCTCTAACTGAAACCAAATAATGCGTTCTCACATCCCAAGTTTACGGGGAAACTAAACTTATAACGTACGAAACTTTGAGAATCCGGACTGTATGTGGTGACAACGACAGCTGTTACTATAGGGATCCTTCACTCCCCCCACAAACCTTACTCAATGTACCCGTTTATCCATTCTTCGCCGTCCTCTTAATCACCCCCACCCCCTCACTCCTTGTGCCCCCCCCCAGCTTGCAACACCTCCCCCTGGACACCACGACGTGGCCTATTTGTACACTCCCCCACGTCGTCACCGCCACAAAACAAGAAGTCCTAACTATATCAAATTGTTCCTTAAACTACAATCAGTCACACATTTATCAGTTCGTCTTTGAGAAGAATGATCTGGAAATTGTGTCATTTTTTCTCAACACAATTTTGTATGGATAGTTTTTTGAGTGGCTGTACTATTGATGATCTGAAATATAAAGTATGTCTGAGGGTTGGCGATCACGGCCCTCCACTCCAAATGCTTTCGGGTTGTCCTTAACTAAAATGCACTGTGGGGAGATTAGTAAGGGCCAAGGTGGAAGCACGTGCGCGCACAGAGAGAGAGAGAGAGAGAGACATTACAACAAATCTGTATCTCTCACTGTTCAGGATACTCTTAGTAGTGTTTCTCACGTAGATATTTCCTCCCCCCCCCCATCTCCCATGAGGGTGTGTTCATGACCTGACAGGTGTATGAGTGTGTGTGTGTGTGTGTGGTGACCTAGTGACAGAACACTTGTGAATATCAACTCTCTGACTAACGGTGTATCAGGCCACCTGAGATGATGTTCCTCTCTTTCATATCACTACCGTTTTCCGCAGCGCAGAACCAGCGGTTGTTAGAAGCGCTGGGTGTCCCCCAAACCCTCCGGCAGCGTCACACCTTGAATTCTCACTCAGGTGGTGCGTTCCCAGCAGGAGTTTATTGCCCTGTCACTTCATTAACCATACAGCTACTATAA